CTTCAGAGCGTCTGGTGGTTTTGAACCGCTGACATTGCAGTTAACAGCCCAGCGTGTAACCCACAACAGCACCAGGGCTCCGTTACATTGACTAGCAGTGTAAAAGAGGCTTTGCCATCACGCAGAGTGAGCTTGCTCCAACTCCCCTGACCAGCCCAGGGAGGGGCAATCTCACCCAGGAGTTTGCCTGTGTGTGCCCTGGTTGGAAATAGGTGTACTAGGTAAGGCCACTCGCTTAAGTCATACCCCAACCAAGGTGACCAGAGGACCGGAGTCATCCTGTAAGCTATGCTCAATTGCAAGAGTACGTTTCCCAACATGGTCCCTGTCCCACTTCTGTGGTCCTGCCTGCGACTGTGAGGAATTGATCATAATTTGGAGATCATTTCCTTTGTTCTTCATGCCCTTATTTAAGTGACTGGCTGTGAATCAAGTGGAGTAGCGGCAACTCATTGGGCTGCTAACTGCAAGGTTAGCTGTTTGAAACTAGCAGCTGATCTTTGGGAGAAAGACGGGGTTTTGTATTCTCGTAAAGATGTACAGTCTTGGAAACCCACGGCGGCAGCTCTACCCCGTCCTGTCGGGTCGCTGTGAGTCTGCATCGACGTGATGACAGTGAGCTTGGTTAGCGTTTTTTGAGTGGCTGTGAATCCATTCCGATCTCATGCCAGTCGTCGGCCTCATTTGGATGATTTGTGCATGTTTTAATCTTTGTCCTGTTCAAGGCTTAATAAACGGGTCTCCATAAATTACATTTGAATTCAGGATCTATTTCCGCCTCCGCCCTCCCTCGAACAAATTGCACAAATGAAGTTGCTTGGGGATTAGAGAGACTGTGGCCCACATTTTGGCTGAAGTCACTCTGGTGGACCCTTCTCTTCACCCACTTACCACCTGCTCAGTCCCAACCACAGCTTCAAGAGCCTGTCTGGTTGGGTGTCATTAAATGTGGCCTGCCCTTGAGCAGATGGCTCCCCAAGGTCAGAGAACTCCACCAAGGGCACCATGTTATTCAGCTGCCCCACCTCCCCCAATAGGAGGGCTGCACTTTTTGGCTCGGCAATACGTATTCCTCTTCCGTGCCTTAGCTGGACCGTGAAGAGGTGGCGAGACGATCTTCCATCTTCATTGTGAGTCTCTTCCTGCCGTGCGCAGGCTTGCGAAGCACAGGCACTTCCGATGCCTGCAGTTATCTTGAGGGGCGGGGAGGAGAGGAGACTTGGTCATGATTCACTACCAACCCATGCCAGGGACTTTACATGGTTATCCCCCTCAGTCTTCCCAAGGGCACTCTGGGCTGTTATCACAGATGAGGACAAGCAGACCCCAAGGTTGACCTGGTTGAGGTCCCTGATTGGAAGTCAGTTGACCTCTCTTTGACTGGCACTGAAGCCAGGACACTACAGGCGTTTGCTGACTCTGCACCCTTCTCTTCTGCCCACCCCTCCCTAACCACTCCCCACTGGAGTAACTAGAGAGGACCTATCATTCCCTTACTCGCCCAGCCTCGATGGGGAGTGTGACGAGAAACTGTAGGCGCCGAGGAGCTTACGTGGCCGTGTAGTGTCTGTCTCTCCAAACGAAGTGATGATTAGAATCTTTGTCAGAAGCGGACACTTGGACCAGTGGGGGTTGGGGCAGTCTGGGCCGTGGCTGGTTGTTTTAAACACTTCCCAGGTGATTCTGATAGATAACCGTCCACGTGATCGGATTCTCCGGTCGCTATGAGTTGGAATCAACTGGATGGCAGGGCGTTAGGTGTTGTGAGTTGGTCGTGATCCTCTGCATTTCGCCTCAGAGGACAGCGGGGACCTGAGGATTGGCCTCTGCCCAGGCCACTTGGCTCTGGTTGGAGCCAGAGTCAAATCCTGCTGCAGGATTCATAGGCTTTGCCACACTGCCTGCCTGGCTTGCATAAAAAACCCAAAACTAAACTTGCTGCCATGGAGACGATGCTGTGTCACAGCGACCCTATAGGACAGGGTAGACTGCCCTGGTGAGTGAGTGTCCGAGACTCATTATTCATGGGAGCAGACAGCCTGGTCTCTTTTCCAGGGAGTCCCTCACTGGTGCTTTCAAACCACTGACCCTTTCTGGGTTGCAGTCCAATGCTTCACCACCACGTCACCAGGGAGCCTCCCTGCTGCTTGCCTCTTCTTGCTTTTGCTTGTTGTTAGGGCCCGAGGAAGGCCTTAGAGACCAGTTTTGCAAACCACAGTGGGAAGGAAATGTCACTTGGTCCCAGAGCCTGGCAAGGAGGAAGTGATTCATCAGTCAGGCCGGTCTTCACCCACCCGCAGAGAGGCACCGCCAGTGGTGACTTTCCCCAGGGATTGGTGGCCTTTCCTCGGGGAACGTGACTGATAGGACCTTGCTGGGCCCGCCCACAGACTGCTTCAGCTCTGCTTATAGTTCAGCAGCCCAGAGCCTGGGCCTCAAGCATGCGGTGGAAGGTGGACTTTTGTCAGGGTTGGGAAAGATGTCGATCCACGGAGATGGCCAGGACAGGGAAGTCTCAGAATACCTGGCGTGCATTCAGGGAAGGTAGGCTAGCAGACACCGCCCCAGGCATTGGGCATCTTCAGTAAAGAAGACAGCTCCAGCCAGGCCTGTGGAAAGTTCTACTCCTGGGGGCTTCAGGAAGTTCACGGAAATGTTCCCTAATCGTTCAGTTCCATTTTCCCATGAACCTTTGGAAAGCCCACTGGTATTAAAACCACATCACTGAACTTTCATTTTGTGTTTTGATGACGCTTTTATTATCATGGACATTTATTCGAGTCGTAACCAAACAAAACCAATGCTGGCAAAACACATTGCCCTTCGGTTGATTTCCGACCCATAGCGACCCCATAGGACAGTGTGAAACCTACCCCCTAGTGTTCCAAGGATCGGTCTAATCTTTATGGAAGCAGACTGTCACATCCGCCTCCCCGGGAGTGGTTGGTGGCCTTGAACCCTGACCGTTCAGTTGGCAACTAAGCACTTAACACCCGTGCTACCAAGGCTCTTTAGTGATCGTCATAGATGAGTGTTTTCTTGCAGTGCCCTCAGCCATTTTCTCAAGTGAGGAAACCGCTTGAGAGCCTAGAGCAGCGGTGGTTCTCAACCTGTGGGTCGCGACCCCTTTGGGGTCGCCCGATTCACAGCAGTAGCAAAATTACAGTTAAGAAGTAGCAGCAAAAATAATTTTATGGTCGGGGGGTGGGGGGGGATTGTCACCACAACCTGAGGAACTGTATTAAAGGGTCGCCACATTAGGAAGGTTGAGAGCCACTGGCCTAGAGAGACTTGTCCAGGCTCCCACCCCATCGTGTGCACTCAGCTCCAGCCCAGGTTTGATTCTGAAGCCTGAGTGCTTGGTCGCCGTGTTGTACTGCCTCTGCACCGTGCCCTTACCTTCGCTGGGGAGGTTTTCAGGGATAAAAACCAACAATGGTGAAATAGGAAACGGCTTTTGTCCTTGAGCAGTTTGCAAGATCTTCAGAATTCAGTGCTGGCATCTCCGCCTTTCCCAGAGAAGCCGGATTGGCTCTTTCTACCCAAGTGGGTGCTTCCTTTCACACATCTCTTTCCGGCTGACCAAGGGCTCCCTGAGGAGCAGAGTGGAGGCTTTCAGCTAACTCAGCTGACCCATTCGCTTCCTCCTTCTCCCCTGGTTCTTTTTGTTCATATATCCTTGTGTTGTTGTTTGCTATCATACATCTTCTGTTAGAAATGGAAGAAATCAGGCTTTGGTTTTTTTAATTTTAAGCACAGGGTCGTTGGCCCGTTTCATTCCCACGGGTTGTTCACCAAAAGCACATCCCCAGATGCCTGGTGGCTGCCTAGTACTAACTCAGAAGGCATGAATTTTCACCTGCCTGTGGCAGGAGCCCTGGTGGTGTAGTGGTTAAGCATCAGGCTGCTTAACTACAAGGTCAGCAGTTTGAAACCACCAGCTGCTCTGTGGGAAAAAGGCAAGGTGTTTTCTTCCCATTAAGAAGCACAGTCTCAGAAACCCACAGGAGCAGTTCTGCCCTGTGCTGGTAGGGTCACCGGGAGTCAGAACTGACTTGATGGCAGTGAGCTTGGTGTGATTTTGGTGATGGGAGAAGGGGGGAGTGGTGCAAAGGTTAGAGAACCTGCCAGCAGCTACCCTGTGGGGGAAGTACCAGGCAGACAGAAGCCCTCTGGGGCAGTCAGTTGTCCTGTCTGACAAGGGGTTGCATTGAGCAGGACTCCACACAGCGGGCACGGGTGTCTTGTAACTTTGGCTAAAAGTGGAAGTTCCCGAGACCCAGAGAGGCTGACGATTTTATCAGAGGTCTCACCACTTGTCAGGGCAAGGCCTTCCTACTCCAGATCCATTGTGTGTGTGTGTGTGTGTGTGTGTGTGTGTAAGACCTTCCTACTCCAGATCCAGTGTGTGTGTGTAAGGCCTTCCTACTCCAGATCCAGTGTGTGTGTGTGTGTGTGTGTGTGTGTGTGTGTAAAGCCTTCCTACTCCAGATCCAGTGTGTGTGTGTGTGTGTGTGTGTGTAAGGCCTTCCTACTCCAGATCCATTGTGTGTGTGTATCCTTTCTACTCCAGATCCTGTGTGTGTAAGGCCTTCCTACTCCAGATCCAGTGTGTGTGTGTGTGTGTGTGTGCGCGCAGTCGTGCGTGCGTGCATGCAGGGGCGGGTCAGAGGGAGCCCTCCAGATGAGACAGAATGAAAAATTGTTCTTTGGCAAGAGATCCGTTAAAAACTGAGCCTGTTGCCACGAAGTCGATCCCAGGCTCCTAAGATATCTGCCGCATAGCGTGTCCAAGGCTGCAGTTCCTAGATCGCTGAGCAGCTGGTGGGTTAGAACCAGGAGCGCTTCCATTCATGGCCAAGCGCTTCAGCCCCTGCACCACCAGGGGCTCCTTAAGGAATCCCCAGACCAGTGAAAACCGACTGTGGGGTGTCTCGCCCTCCGGCTCCTCCTTTCCCTCCGTAACCCCCACGTTACTGTTTTCTGCTCTCTCCCCCCAGACGCGAATGCAGAGTCTGCATCCGGATCCCAAGGCCCAGTACACCAGCGTGTATGGCGCCCTCAAGAAGATCGTCCGGACCGAAGGCTTCTGGCGGCCGCTGCGGGGCATCAACGTGATGGTGATGGGGGCGGGGCCTGCGCACGCCATGTACTTTGCCTGCTATGAGAACATGAAACGGACTTTGAATGATGTTTTCCACCACCGCGGAAACAGCCACCTAGCCAACGGTACTTTGAAAGCCCCTGTCCGGAGTTAGGAAACTCTCCTCTTCAACAGACCCTCCCCCGGGGCGCTTTGCTGTGGCCCAGCCGCCTAACGCCTGCCTCGTCTCCAGCTTGCTCGTGAATAAAGAACTCTAGCGCTGGGTGTGCGCGCAGGGCGCCCGGGTGCCCACCCACCCACACACGCTTTTTTTTCTGACCCCCCCATCCCCCTCCTTCATTTTCCGAAGCCAGGGGAAATTGGTGACAGAGGGGTTTCTGATTTTTTTTTTTTTTT